TTGCTGACTCACCTTCCCTTTCACTGACCCATAGTAGGTAATTCTCAGCCCCCACCCTGCATTTCCTGCTTCCTTGGGCCTCTGTCTAGGCCTTACCTGGGTGGGCAGGCCCATCACCCGATGGAGATCTGACTTCCCAGCTAGCCCCTCTTTGCCCTCCCTCCTGCAAACAGGACCTGCTTTTCCCTTCCTCGTGTGGCCTTTCTTCTTTAGGTCTCAGTTTCCTTGTCTGTGTAATGGAGGGCAGTAATCTTGCACTAGCAAACTTACATGTTTTTAATGCCAGTCAAATGGATTTATAGTAAAGCTTGTGTGCAAGTGTGAGAGTGGCCAGCTTTTCACTCTTAAGAGGCTGTAGCCCAGTGCCTGCTGGGTCCACATCTTAAGTCAGCATTTGGTGAACTGAGTTGAATACTTATTCATACCAATATCCTGTAAGGCAGGTGTCAGTACCCCCACCTTATAATCACAAGGGTGTTTGCCTGCATGACACCATCTCTGTGCTCAGGTAAAGCCTGAGAGTCATTGAATTCAAGTCATTTGGGTGGGAGCTGCTGTGGTCAGTATTCCAGTAGTAAAGCCAATTGAAGAGGGTATTAACTTACTGGCTTTCAGAAGCATGAACTAAGCGCATAGTTCCCATGTGCATTCTGTGAGAGTTAGACACGCATCCTTTAAATGTGTCTTGACAGAGTCAGGCCTTCGTTCCAAAGCAGATAGTTTTCCGATCATATTGATGCTGTCCTGGCCACTGTTCAGCTTTTGTCCTCTGTGCATTGAGGAGTGACCCCTGCAGTGGTAGCTCAGTGCCTAGCTCCCTTGAGTACCCAGGGAGGACTTTCAGCAGGTGCAGCCAGGTCCAAGAGAGTCCTGGGCTAGCTCTGGCCACATCCCCGCATCGCACTTGTTCCGGATGTGCCAGGTTTTTGTTGAAATGTGGCAGAGTGCGCAGCTCTGTCCCAGCCTGTCCTTGCTGTCAGGCGAAGTGAGGTGGCTGGGAGGAGACTGCAGATGGAGAGGCATTGCTGCGTAGAACCCTCACCTCTACCAGCCTCACACCTGTCGGCAGGAGAAATTAGAGCCTGGACCTGCTTCCTGCAGCTGTGTTTTCTGTGCTCGTCATCTTGTCGGCACTCACACCTGGTACCGGGATTCTTCCCCTTCTCAGTGAAGCCGTCCAGCACAGCATGAGATATTTGTTTAATTAAAAGACTGTGGGTACAGAGTGTGAAGTGTTAACTTTGAAATAACTTACAGAGGCCTCTAGTTTTTGAGCCTGTCTGTGGAAGGAGAGGGAAAAGAAGGAAGGAGCGTAAAGGGAAAGGGGACAGACAAGGACACTTTGTCCTGATTTCTACCTTAAACCCTTAAACCATAGTTACCTTTTCCAGAGCACGGCTGCCAAATACTCTTCGTTTTCGGTGTATGTGTTACAGCAATACAATGATACATGAGTTATTTTATTGGGTATTGGCAAATATTTACTCAGCTAAGAGAAGTTCCAGAATGAAAAAATATTTAAGAAACAATGTGTAGGGCCGGGGATTTAGCTCAGTGGTTTCGCCGCCTGCTGCGCAAGCGCAAAGACCCAAGTTCGATCCCCGGTACCAAAAAAAAAAAAAAAGAAACAATGTGTAAATTGCCTAAAGTGAAGACAAACTGAGGCATGGGAACACTGCAGTGGGCCCCATCCTAGTGCCGAGAGATCCGTGGACTGTCAGAAGATGCTGACATGGTCCAGTGAGGAAAGAAAGTGAATCAAGTCAGAGGTGTCAGAGCTGCTGGCGTCCTCTTGGCACCACTGAAAACCCCGGAAGGAAGTGAACTTTAAGTGAGTTTTCAACTCAGAAGTCATGTGTCCAAGTAAAAAAAAAAAAATTTATCTGGTGCCTCTTAGTAGCCTTCCAGACACAGGGCCTGATCAGCTTCTCTGGGCACCATTCCTTTCTGTCCGCAGAACTCCTGGTAACTTGAGTAAAATAGGAAGTCATAGACAGAGACCTGAGACAGAGTCATGGGGTCTGCCAGTGGGAGGCAGGGGAGTGAAACGGGATGACTGGTGGGAATCTGGGTGCCTTCCCACATCACTCACTTGTCATTTGGGTCTTATTTCTCTAATCTGTATAATGAGGAGCTGGAGCTAGACAGTTCCTAAATTCTTTTCTAGTTTTAAGATTCAGTAAATTTAGATTTCCTTGAACCAGTTAACCTGTAAGGTAATACCGGGCAAAGACAATCAGTCAACATAGTTTGAACTGGAAGAGCATCTTGGATGCCTTCCTGGGTCGGCAGTCAGCAGTGATGTGGAAACAGTGACCCTCATCTGCAGAACTGACTAATAATATTGATAGGCAGGTGCTTTCTCCGCAGACTGTATCTGGGGGATTAGAATAAGAGATAAAAGAGCACAGTAAGAAGTAAAGAGCAAACAGAAGTGTGCAGAATGATGCCGAAGCCAACGGGCCAGGACAGGCCTCCCCACCTACAAAAGCTCCTGCCAGGAGACACGTGGGGGCTCGGGACCTCGAGACCCATTGGGCAGGACCCACGCAGGCTCTTTCCCCTGTGTCGCCATCTCTGGCAGGAAACATTCATGGGGGTGAGGACCGCCTCGCCGAGCACATTGGCTCTGCTGCCTTGTGAGAGTGGATGTGTGCTCTGGGAGCATCATCCCACTCTGACACAGGTGCTTCTCCTTCACCAATGATGGTCAGTCCACTCCTGAGAGTCATGCACTGTTAGACAGCGTCCTCTCACATCACAGGGATATAAACTTAATGACTGGCTCCACATGGCTTTTCATGAAATTGATACAAAGCCTTTGTTATCAGTACCTGTTCCTGTAAACTGTCCGTGAGGTATGAAAGGAGAGAACTTGCATCAGTGCACTACAGAAGTGGGATGGCAGGCAGTAGGACAATTTGTGTAGGATTGCCATCCCCTGAAACAGAAGCAGTGGGTGAGACTTGAGCTGTGAATGTGAGTTCATTATATACCCACGTGCGGTCCATTCCTAATCTCAAGGCAGCCACAGCCCAACAAGAACAGTACTGTTCCTAGGACCAGTCGCTGTGAACCAATAGTTGGCAGTGAGCAAAGTTAATAAATCGCTTCTGGAATCAGGAGACTGACCGTGTTCCGATGGCCTTACACCCTACTTCCACCAGGTGGCGTTCTTGCACACCTTGGTCCACGGCCCCTGGATGCCCAGCAACCTTGGGTCTGTCTCACTGAGCCATTTTGGGTTGTGGAAGCCAGTGGCTGTGTGATGTAGATTCACTCATTTTTAACTGTTTTTATTAGTGCCTTTTGAAGTGCATATTAATGACATTCATCGTGGGAGTTGGTCTGTCACCATGTAGCAGATGAACTCATCGACAGATTAAGGCTCTTGGTTGTTATATTCTAGGGGACTCTGTTTCCAACTAAGTTAACCCCAATCAGTCTGACTGAGTAAGAGAGTTCCTCTTTGGTGATGGGAATTCCAAGGGGTGACTGATAATCAGAAGAGCTTGGTGGATATTTGACACATATTTGTGAAGGTAAACAAGCAGCATTTGACTTTGAGAGTGCAAGGAATTGTCCTCTGATTGCTCTTTTTATTTCTGCCGGTTGTAAATCCAAGCTATTCATTGAGAACCTCCTATGCCAGATGTTGGAGATACAAAATTGCCTGTAACAAGATCCTTATTCACAAAGACCTGTTAAGTCAGTAAGAGAAAAAACAAAATAAGACAGACTTAACCATTGTACTGTTGGAACACAAAGGGGTGGGGAATGTGAAGAGATTTTATAAAAGGCTCTGAAATTTAAACTGGTGCTTGATGGAATTTAGAAAGTGTACAAGAGGAACGACTTGGTTTTAGGCAAAATGAGCAAATAATTTGGAAAGGTCTCACTTGTTTGGTGAAAAATATTGTAAAGAGTCAAACTTGTCCTCTCCATACCTTTATGAATTATCTTCCTTTACTAGGAGTTCATTCTGCATCAAACCCAGCAAAACAGCTACATTCTACTCATTTAAAAAATTGCATTAGTACATGTTTGCAGTACATAATGATTGCACTTATCATGAGCCAGCACGTGTACATGACACAGTTTAGATCTTTCTCTCTCCTCCCTCTCTATCTCTTGGTCCTCTTCCCATTTGCAAAAGATCTATTTCCCCTTTTCCTATTATTTGACTTTTTTTTTCACTCTTTAATTTACTTATACTTTGTGTTTCTCATAAAAGAGAAACCATCTGATATTTAACTCCATGTATTCATGTATCTGATTACTTTCACTTAACATTATGGTCTAAAGGTCCATCCATTTTCCTACAGATGACTCAAGTTTATCTTTGTTTATGGCAGAGCAATGTACCATTGTGTATAAATATGTCATTTTCTTTATCCATTTATCTGTTGATGGGCATGTAGGCCACTTCCCAGATTCAGCCATTATGAGTTGTGCTATGATAAACATGCATGGATCACTGTGGTATGATGTCTTCACCTCTTTGGGGAAGATACCTAGCAGGGAAAAGGGAAATACCTGAGTCAGTTTTTAAGATAATGCTCATGCCTAAGAGGAATGGTAGACAGATCTTGTCCTGTTAACATTTAACATGAGAGATGAAAATGACAGATGTTGATGCTGTTTTTATTTTGTACATGCCATGCATTATTAACATGAAGGACTGGTTTTCCTTTTTTATAATATAAAACCATCACTGAAAAAAATATGTGAATAACTTCTATTACTGCCTAAAATGTTGCTCACATCACAGCATTCCTCAGCCAAGAGATTGAGGGAGGCGGAAGGAGAGTGGGGAAGGGAATGTGCAAAGAACTAAGATGGTCATGCGCACGTACCACTCCCCACCACAAGTGTGATCATTATGTCCTGCAAACATGTGCTCATGAAAACAGCCTTGGAGTGCCCCTAGCCGCTGGAACCTGTGCCAGCTCTCCAACCTAGCACTCACAGTCCTGACCTGCTTTTCTCTTCCTCCTCAGAAGCCCTTCGCTTTTCTTCGGACAGACGGGACCTCTTGCTGTCCCGAGGGCCTGAGTTGGAGCAGTTGCCCAGTCAAAAGGGAGGTAAAGTTCAAGCGCCTGCCCTGGTGGTGTTCTCTCTGCACCATGTGCCTGCCGCTCCCCTCACCCAGTACTGATTTTCAAAACCACCCTCTGTCTAACTTGATTAGAAATTCTTCAAACCTAAACAAGATTGAAACCTATTTAGGAAATAGATATAGAAATTCTTTTTAAAGAAGTCATTTCTAAGCACCCGGACATCATGGTAGATGTGAGAAGATAGTCAACAAGCATAACTGTTTGGCAATCAGTTTTTCTACAGTACCTAGTGTCAGACATCTGTATGAAAATTTAGTTCTTTTTTTTGGTACCAGGAATCGAACTTGGGACCTTGTGCTTGCAAAGCAGGCGGTGGAACCACTGATCTAAATCCCTGGCCCCATATGAAAATCTAAAGATGGAACATGAGAGTTGGGAAAAAGTACAAAGTATTAAAATGGCTTTCAGTAGTGATTGTATTTTTTTTTTCAGATTAAATTCATTGGTTCCTCTACTCTAAGAACAAGACAAAAAAAGGAACTTGGCAGTCCAACATCTAATCTTAGGAGTGTACCTGGGTACACTTTAGGCCTACTTATTGAAAAGGAAAGGCACCACGAAACCAGTTCCAGCCCTGCAGCGCTGTGCGTGTTAACCTCTGGTGGAGCAGAGCTGAAGTCACTCTTCCCTCTGGTTCACCAGGGCCATGGTATTCCCTTAGGGCTCCAGGTTTGCGGTTATTCTTCCTTCCTTGCAGCAGGGCTATGATGTTACTGCTTCCTGTGGCAACAAAACAGCCTCACTCTTACATGTTGAGTCGTGGCCAAGGGATTTCTACGGGCTGGATTCTTACCGTTTGGTGCTGGATGTTTTTGCCCTGTTAATCTGGCTTTTCTATCTTTACCAGTTCCCTTTGCTGGGGTTTTTATGCCTCAGTGGAGATCTCAGAGTCCAGAGACAGGAAGGTGTAGTGCGGCGCCATTGCACACTAGTGCATGGTGTCCTGGGTGTGCTGGGGTGAGGCCTGGCCGCCCTCTTCTGTCTGGAGCTTAAGAAGGTCCCTTCCACGCATCCCTGTGAGCCTGCAGCTGCTCCTGTGGTCACCATCCCACTGGCTGCCCCAGTCACCCTGCAAGGCCTCATTTACGTTGTTCCTTCCTTCCTTTTTTGAGAGTGTGTTTACTCTATTTAAGCCATTTATAGCTTCGGATTTATTAATAATTTTAATGTCCTCATGTATTTTAATTATTTTCCTAACTTTTCTATACTTTAAATTATAAAAATTTCCCTTTACCTAATTTCAATTTAATGACTTGACTGATGTTTTAACTGTTTTATTTAAGTGTTTAGCACTTTATTCCCCTATTTTATACCATTTATTTTATTACTCATAAAATTTTATCATCTTGTTGGTCATTTTATGGAAAGTTGTCATAGAAAATTAATAAATCTAATGTGAACATTTTGAAAACCTTCTACCTGAGTGTTTTATGGGTAGGGACCACCTAACCACTCTGCCACTAGGTGCCTATTAGTCAGTTTTTAAACCTCCAGTGCACAAAAATGACAAGTAAAACCATTTTCTGAATATATGTAATTTAAGCCTGTTCAGAAGTAACCTAAAAAAGTTGGAGATGATTTCAGAGTCAAAATGTTTTTCAGGGAAGAATGCAGGAGCTAGTCTTATTGAAAATTATTAAATAATGTGTGTTTGACCACATTTATTAAGTATTCAGAAAGTAAATATTGAGTTCATGGACTGATAAGTACATCTTTGCTTATGACAGCAAAGTCAGGTTTTTTATAGATCAAATCTGGTTACCCACCACGCATACATATTTAAAAACCATTAAAAAGTCAGTCTGTAGGTGCTGTGTTTTAACTCAACTCCCTTTTGATAGCATGAAGTGTCCCTGGGAATTAAAAGCTCAATGGCATCTTGAACTGAAGCCTATTTTAATCTAATGTGGTGCAGCTGTGAGAACTGGCATACTCCAAGGACTGTGGCTATTTTTGGTATCTGACTTTCTACTCCCAACAGTTCATCAGAATGTAGGTGCTAAGCAATAACTCAGAACTTTTGACAAATTCGATGTTTTTTATATTAACATATCTGAAAGGTATGTTTGGGGATGGCAGCTTTTCAAATGGTGCACTTCTTGGGCTATGAAGAGGCCTCTGGTTCACGCATGTACACTCTCCTCTATCTTTTCTTTGCTCAGTGTGACGAGTAGAACCCCAGGCTGGGATGGCCGTGAATTGGTGCCTGGATAGAGCGCATGGCTTAAGGACGGGCCAGAGGCGCAGCACTTTGATGTTGGGACTGCTCACATGGTAACAGGCCCTGAATCTAGATTTCAGACAGAGTTGTTTCAGTAAAGCTTCAGTTGTCCTTTTCTCCTTGACTGTTTCTTTGAGAGCTCGTAGGACATCAGAAAAGCTGAGCCTTATTTGCTTTTCTTCCTTTAGTTCAAGGTACTAGAGACCATTGGCAAAACTGGCAGCTGCAGGGAGAGGCTAGGAATATCTGCCTCAGGATTGGGTGGGGACAGGGACACTGGGGCAGAACCTGGACCTTTCATCCTGATCAAGACGTCGGGATGGCTGACTTGGCAGAAGCTACAGAGCAAAGCTGTCAGGTGGAGCCATGTGACTGAGGGAGCGCTGGGGCTCTGGGCCAGGAGCGTGCATGACTGGGCCCCACAGCACAGCACTGGGCCTGTGCAGCCCCCACCTCTCAGTCGCAGAGCCGAGGCCAGGCCAGAGTGCTGGTGCTGGAGCCCAGCCTGCGGATCCATGTCCAGGCCACACCTCTCTGCCACAGGCCTCTGTTCCCGCACAAGGGCAGACCACCCTTTCCTCTTTGACCTCCAAAAGGGTTTAGTATGAACACTGCCTGGATGCTGTCCACTGTGGACCCTAAATTACCCAGTTACCCTGTGGGCCGCCCATGGCCAGACAGAGGAATCGCACAGCCCTTACCCTTGGGATGGTTATAATGAAGTGGCTCTTAGAGATGGGGCTGGGGTGACATCAGCTGTGTGGAGAGAGGGAAGGCTAAGGGACGATGGCTGCATTGAATCTGAGAGGCCAGTCAAGAGCGAGGCCTGTTGAGAATGGTACTCTGTGGGGAGGAGGTGGAAAGAAACTTTAGAGGGAGCTGGGCTCGACAAGCTGAAGAGAGATGAATTTGAAGTCTTGGCAACAAAGTCAAGTCTATGTATGAACAACTTGGGCTTATTTCTAGGTCACTGACCACCAAAAGTTTTGTTTCTTCTTTGCTGTCTTTTCTCCCTCTGTCCCTCCCATCTGTGTGTCCATCCATGCTCCGAAGCCTTACTGGGAAGTTCCTATTGGTTGGTGCTCTTAGCCTTCCTCAGCTGCAGGACGCGGTGGTAGCTCCACATGTCTGCAGTGGTGCCCTTCCTGAGGCTTGAGCAAGAGGAACACGTGGTGGGAACTGCAGAGTGACAGACAAGGACAAAAGGGGACCAGCCTGTTCTCCCTGCCCACGCTGGTTCTTCCAGTGGAGTCACAGAGTCATGTGGGGCCACTAGCAGAGAAGGGCCAGGTCTTCAGAATTCAGAAATGAGACCACGGGCTCCATGATCACCTGTTTTCCTGGTCTAATCCATGTCAGAAAAGGCATACAAGCAGATTTTAAGGCACCCTGATAATATATTCCATTAATCTAGCTGGGGAAACAATAAGTTCCCATCTCCTTCAAACATCCCAAACAATTTCCCCAAACATTTTGAAACACATAAGGCTCTATGAAGGATTTCTGCCTCATATAAAGCATTTAGTCCGCTAGTCACCTAGTTATTTAACATTTCACTTGTATTAGGCCTGTCTGTGTGCTGCACACAAGGGTGTTGGATGAGGATTTTGTCTTCCCATATGTAGCATAGATGCAATGCAAATAAACAATGAAATGATGCCAGAGTCGGTGCCCCGTTCAGGGCTAAGGAGGATGGAAGGGACCTTGGGATCATAGGCCTTAGAGTGCTGGTTTCTGTGCTTTTCTGGTGGATTCCAACACGGTCCCTGGGCTTTTCTGAGCCATGTGTGAATTAGTCAAAGGAAAGACCAGATGTGACGTGTGAAGCTGTCTCCTTAACTGAGTGCTTGCTCTGTACCTGGCTTCTTGGCAATTCTGTGAAATGGAGCAAGGCCTGACCTTGCTTCTGTGCTCTGAGAGTGAGCAGGGCACACAAAGGCAGGACCCTGTGCTGACCCCTCAGGATCAGCAAGGCCAGCGTCCAGGCATAGCCCTGTGGCCCCCCCGTACGTGAGTTTAGGAGACACTGACCCCAGTAATGCAGATAAGCCTTGATTTCCACGTGTAGATAGAAATGGTGATATACTGGCTCTGAGTGGTGTCCAGTGAGTGACACGAGCTCCTGATTGACAGCCGCCGGTCTCCTGGGGCTTTCCACCGTGGAGAATGTGCCTGTCCCCAGCTTGACTATGTGAATACGAATCAGTGTGGGGGTTGCAAAGTTCCGTATTCTGCACTCGGTGTGAATCATTACAGAGCATGCTCTCAGGAAATGCCCTGCCCTAGGCTGGCACATCCTGCCATTCTGGGGTTCTCCATGCACAGCATCTCGATGTCCTTGGTCCCAGGGACTTGTCCTCCCAATGGGCACTTCCCTCCTGCAGGGGTGTACTCTGTACCCCTGCCCTCGCCCACGTAGCCAACTTGCCTTCCCGACCTCCCAGAGCTCCGAGAGCACCCTGCCTGTGAGGGGCATTTCCTCACTCTCCTGAGGGATGAAGACTGGCAGCTTTAACTCTGGTAGACTTGGGAGTACCAGAAGCCCAGGAAGCCCCTGCCCCACTTCTAGGTCACCTTGTAGCCATTGTCCATCTTAGCAATCTAATGAGACAATGAATTTTTTTCTATTTTCTGTAAGATTAACATCAGATAGGTTCTGGCTCTGTTTGTTTTCTGCTGCTATAGAAAAGCATCTAAGACTGGGTAATTTAAGATGAACAAGAGCCAGGAGTTCCAAGGTCAT